TTGTTTTCTTCTTCTAAAAGGTTTTGTAAGTCACTATGTGTCATGTAATCCTCATCTTGCTCTTGCACTACTAAAAATTCAGGACTGTCGCACTCAACTGATCAGGCCACCTCCACAGCAGTCTCAGATCGCTGCAATACAAACTAGTGAGCCCTGAACAAAAGGGAACTGCTCCCTGTCCTACTTGATACCCAGTGATTGAGCTAAACACTTGTGCACTTCTTCTTGGAGCAACTTCCATAGGAAAGCAGGGAAATGCCCCCAGAGCATACCCCTCCCATCACCAATGCCTGTTTTTTACCTCCACACGGCTCAGCTGGCCAGCTTTTGTCAAACCAACACCTGGGGACCTGGGATGGGATCTGTCAATTCCTCCAAGCAGGAGAGCACTTGCAAGGCTGATGCTGAAGTGCTGAGCACTGCCACGCTCAAAATCATCAGTCCACCCTGCCCAAAGACATTAATCAGCTTCCTCTTCTAATTATACTCCCACTGCTTGCCAGGAGTTTACTATTTTGTGGAATGCAGGCGGGACAACTTTCAGCACTGCTGATCTGCGCCTTCCCCCTTCTTGATTAAACAAAACTAGGAAAACCCCACAGAGAATAATACAAAGGGTTTGACAGAGGCAGGAGGTAACTGTCCATCTAGATCAAGCCGTATCATGGTCACCCAGCCAAGGCACTTGTTAGGCTCACATGGTGTCAGTTTGGGGACAGCAGCACGTGGCCTGCCAATTTTGGAGCACACTTTTATTAATTTCCTCACTAATTCTTAAAAGCTAGTTTTTAAAATCATTAAGTTTCACAAGCAGTTTTCAAAGACCTTGCCATAGAAAAGACAAGATCTCGAACTCCTCCTGCAGCAGAGCTCCTCACGGCCAGACAGGAGTGAAATGACTTTGTCACCAAGGGAGCCCTGATGGCTTGGTCCCAGTATCCCTCGTCAGGGCTCCATCTGCTTCCGACAAGAAAGGATGGACCACAGCAGGGAGGTGTCGCTTCCTCCCATGGTCCCAAGCAAGCTGAGGGGACAAGTCCACACATGAATAGCAGAGGGCAGATGACTCACTGCCTTCACAGAGCAGTGTGAAGATCTCAGTATCATCTTCAGGGGAATATACCTTCGTTTCTACATTGTAGTGTAGAACTAGTATAAATTGATGCAAATAAATGAGATTATGCTGCATCTTTTTAAGAAGCTTGAGTCTCTCATGGATTATTGGGTTTTTTACACTACGGAAGTTGAATTCCTCTGTACAGCTGTCAGGTTAGATTGATTTAAAAACTGCCCTGCAAAAAGTCATGATTACCAATGTACTTGCTATTTACATTGCTCTGTGAAAGCCTAGCGATATAACGGTCTGGCTGGAAACAATAACAAAAAATATCCACATGAATATACATGTCTCTATTTGTCATTAGGAACTACTTACCTCTGACTGCCACTCTGATTGACCTGTCTGTAATTATTAAAATACCTTCTAGAACCTCATCTGTCCTTAGGATAGAAGATTTCCTGTCTTCCTACTTTTTATTTAGGGGGTTTCCTGTTTCATGGCTCTGAGATGCAAACCTTAATCACACAGGACCAAAACACAACTGCCATTAGAGGGATGAGTCCTTATGGAGTTTCACTGTAATGAACACACACTGAAGTTCTGAGCAGGGTATTCTAGGAAGTCTTAAAGCAGACAAAAAAAAGAGTATCCTGGGCTGCATCCAAAGCAGCGTGACCAGCAGGTCGAGGGAGGGGATTCTCCCCCTCTACTCCGCTCTGGTGAGACCCCCTCTGCAGTACTGCCTTCAGCTCTGGGGCCCCCAACACAATAAAGACAGGTTGAGAGGGTTGGGGTTGTTCAGCCTGGAGAAGAAAAGCCTTCCAGTACCTTAAATGGGCCTACAAGAAAGCTGGGGAGGGACTTTTTACAAGGGCATGGAGTGATAGGTCAATGGCTTTAAACTGGAAGAGGGAAGATTTAGTGGTGAGGCACTGGCATGGGTTGCCCAGAGAAGCTGCGGATGCCCCATCCCTGGAAGTGTCCAAGGCCAGGCTCGATGGGGCTTTGAGCAATCTGGTCTGGTGGAAGGTGTCTCTGCCCATGGCACAGGAGTTGCAACTGGATGGTCTTTAAGGTCCCTTCCAACCAAACCATTCTATGATTCTATGAAAAAGGAATTTTATGTATGAATTGCTGACAAAAACTTTACCATAACTGTAGTCTGAATTCTACCATATAACAAGAGGTTTTGTTGGCATTATGTCTGCTTCCATTTGTCTTCCTCTGAGCATCCCCTCAAGAGCATTCAGAAAAGAGACCCAGCAGTAGAAAATGCACATTAAAGTAGTGGTGCCAAACGGCCAAGTCTGCACACACAGAGAGATCAACCACTGCCATTCCCACTGACATCAAACGCAGAGATAAAACCTCTTATGTGCAACACCAATGCAGAACCTGAAACAGCACCATGTACCAGTACATGGCTACCATGGCTTTCTGGTTAGTGGCAGCACTGGCCACCCTCATCCAGGACACAAAGGCCCAGTAAACAAGGAGGCCATTTCCCTGCCCTCCAGTGCTCAGTCCAGCTCATGGACGCCACGTGAGGGACTGGGCAATGAGGAGGATATAAGCAGCCATCTCCTCTCTTCCTCCTTGACAGGTTCCTGTGAGATAACCAAGTGTGTCTCAGCCAGAAGCACCAAGACAGTGCTGAGTCAAAGGCCCTGGTCTTGGAAAGGATACACCTCCAAAATCAACATCCAGTGCTTCACAGCTGGCAGGGCAGGGCTGCACCGGGGAAAGAGGACAGGCTCTGCTGCAAGGACCAGCTGGTACAGGAACACACTATGGCTGTGAATCTTCCATTAAACTTTGCAAGATGCTGGATGGATTTTAATGCAATTTTAGTAAAACTGAGTGAAAAACAGTATGATTGGTATTATGAGCTCATACACCCACAGTGCTGGAGGAGGGACTTGTTAAAAAAAAATTTAAATTACAAGAGTCCTTCGCACCAATACATTAAGTAACTAGAATTGTACACACCTCATCTGCTTTTGTGAACACTCATTTGCACATACAAGGATCTTGCACTAATTTGCAGGTTCTCACCAGGAATAATAAAAATCTGGCTTCAAGTATAGTCTAACTGTAGGAGGTACAGCAAGCAGCAGCACTTACAAATATTAGTTGTATAATCACAAGACATACCTTGCAGTTCACTTATTTTGACCTTGAGATGACAGAGAAAGAAAAAGTAGCAAGGCAAATACTATATGGTCCAGCTACTACAAAGATACAACACAGAACTGAAAGTGAGAACAGAGATGGAACAATTAATAGAACCTTCTGCTGCCTCTGCATCTGCAAATGCTGCTGTGCCTCATTTACTGTGCTGCTTAAACATGTTAAGGCAGAGCAGAGGGAAGAAGAGACAACTCCATGCTCAGGTTATAAAAATGACTGGAAGGAAAAAAAAAAAAGGAATATGCAGTTTAGATGACAACAAGTCAGTAACGATGGAGCAGGGGAAAAGGAAGAAATGAAACAGCATATCTAGAAGGAAGATGGAAAAAATGAGAACGAGAAAGAAGCACAGTTGAAGCCAAAGATTTTGTTTTTTCTTGTAAAGAAGTGTGACCGAAGGACAGAATTTTGCATGAAGTTATTTTCCTGAAGACTCTGTCAGCAGAACTTCTGCCAGCTGATTTCACTGCCTTAGCCAATGCACTGCATTCTGCAGTCCAGGTCTCCATTTGTGAGCTTGAGCCTTCCCCAGTTCCTCTCATCTCTAGGATGACCACGTGGCTATTAGGCAGAGCTACAGTTTACTCGTATTACAATTAAACTACAGGAAAGCATGTAGGCATGCAAGGGAAGTGATGGTCTAGCTGCTACATAACTGCGGCCACAGAACACCACACAACCCAACCCGTCCCGTCCCGTCCCCCCGCCCACCGTGAGTTCAATCTTCTTGTGCCATCAACCACATTTCATGTATTTAGAAGCATGCAAATAGATTTAAGTCATATTCACACATACAGCCCTTGCTTTCTTTGGATGCATGAAACCCAAAAGACCACAAGCTACATGAAAAAGAACAAAAAACTACCCGAAAGAGAGTTTGTCCTGATGCCTGAATGACAAGTGAAAGGCAGCGATCCCCAGTGAGGGTGCCACGGTGCTACTCAGCTCGGGAATCGAAAGCCAGTGTGAAGACGGGCACCTTTTGCATCCGGCAGCTCTCTGCGTGCACCCTCAGAGCAGCGCACCCCAGGAGACTTCCTACAGCTAAAAAGCCCATCTGCAAACAAACTCTGACAAGATACAATAGACAGTAAACACTGCCTCCAAAACTGTGCAAACAGAAGTTCTTTAAAAATCGGGTCTTCAGAGTCTAATGAATGTCCTTGGTAAGGAAGTAAAGCTTTTCACAGCGCTGGATACACAGAACCAGGCCTGCAGCTCAGGAGTTGCTGATTTCTAGCCCACACACAGCTCTTTGGACAGGACACGTACCAGCAAGGAAGCAGACGGAGGGGAAAAACGTATCTGTAGGTACTTACATGCAAGATGAAAATTAACTGCACTTTAGGCATACTTTAAAAAAAACATAGAATAACCCTGTGTGACATATTGTTCCCCCAAAATCATCCACCTTAATCACAAAATACTTTGATTGTACTTATAGCATTTAACACCCCTAGCAAACAGTTGCTGCAATCAGATTCTTTATTATTAACAGTATGGTTAACCAGTTACAGCATTCATCAGTCCAAAGTTAATTATCAGGGGTGTTTCAAAAATAGCATATCAAACAACAGAAAAAAAGCCAAATAATATTATGCCTATTAGATTTTAGTTGATTAAAAAAACCCCAACTTAAAAAACTATTCTGTGCGGAATCAAAATAATTTCAACAAAATATTCTTCACTAAGCATGGTAATTCCAATGTCAGCCATACATCTTTTAATTTGCTTTTTTCTCGAGACTTACCTATGTTTTTCTAGTTCGTTGTGTGATGACCTGTTAAAAAGAGAAAAGAAATATTAGAGAAAAGGATAAAGAAACCAAGATTTAGAACATTTAAAAGCCAACACTTGCATAAGTTGCAAAAGAGCTCTCTAAAACATGAATTTATACGGATTATGAAACAGCTTTGCTGTTAAATTGGTCCACTTTTACATCCCTTAGATACTTCAAGGTATCAACTTAATTTTCATGAGTAAACCGTGGGTTTGGGAGGGAATTATAATACATTTGCATTTATTAGCATTCAATAGATTCAGAGACAGAATTGGACATAAAAAACTGAGCAGGTTAGTAATAAAAACAGCCCACGATTTTTTTATCTGTGATGAAAATTTATGAGGGGGCAGAAAGTGTTAGAAGATCTAAATGGTAACAGGTAAGAGTAAAAAGCACCCAAAAAGCCAGCTTTCAAGCCCACGGAGAAGCAGAAAGAAAAATCAGCAGCTAACCACTGCTGTTGCTGTTGACACCTTAATGGCAAAAAAGAGGAATCCTCTTAATTCTTCTGAGTCTACAAACACACAAAAAAATTCATTATCCCTGAACTGACCACATCAGTATGCCATTCTCCTCCAGTCTACTAGGATTCAAGATTTATGTTTTTTTCCCCAATTGATGCCTCAGTTCTTTGCTATTAGAAGGCAGCCCTAACTTCTTGGAGGATTTTTTTATTTTTTTTTATATCGATTCAGCTGGAAATATTAATTTTATTTATTTATACAGCTCAGACTAAAAACATTCCTAAAATGAAGTTATTGTTGCCACTTCAAAACCAGCAACTTCCCGGACTTTTAGTTTTGTCCCACTGAAAACATGTCCAGTACATAAGGATCAAAAGATACAAAGGTGGTGGCAGCTTTTACAGCTGGCAGATTACATCAAAGCAGCTCTCCTACAACATGCTGTAACCCCTGCCTGCATCTGGGAATGATGCACTGACCGAGACGGCTTTGCAGAGGTGTAAGTGCACAGTCCGTCGAGTGAGCAGAGACATCACAGGGCGAGAAAGCCTTCCCGCACTAATGCACAACCTGCCCGGTGGGAAGCTGTTCTGCCTCTCCCCACACATGCACCTGCAACTGGATGCTGCGGCGTACCTACGTGCTACTGATGATGAAAGCATCTCTCCAGCCATAGACCGGGGAAAAAGAAAGCAAAGCTCATGGAAAGAAACGTCCAATGAACAAACCCGCAAGCAATTTATTTCAGGCTGGTGCAGCTCCTGATCTCCTGATCCTGCAAGGAATTAAGCAAACTGCTCCTCTGCAGGTAGAGGAAAACTGAAATGCTTACAAGGTTCAGCACTGATGCTAATCTGCTTTTACTGGAAAGCATCCCAGTGTTGTTACCTAGACATCAACTATGTCAACCATTACCTGCTATCTTTTTCTGAAGAGCCTATGAAGTCTGTCTTTTTTTTTTTTTTTTTCAAACTTGTTGCATCAAGTGAGCCATGATCAGGTAATGTATGTATTCCTACAGTGCCATATAAGTCCTCCTGACCAATGTGGCAACACCGAAAGTGTTTTGCACATACTCCATGCTACATTAATAGGTCAAGGTGGGCTGGCTTTGCTGTGATTTACTGTATTTGCCATTTGACCATAATAAAGGGATATTGTTTTTATTTTCTACTCCTGCACACACAGAAAGAGATCAAACTTTTTCTCCATGAAGGTTTCTCCACACCAACTTTCATGAAAAGTGACAAACACTATGCCAAATCCACCAATGTTTATGAAAACACACAGAAAATGTAAGGTCAGGAGTGAACGATTCTCCCCAAACACACCAGCCACAAAGATGCTGTTCACAGGGAACTCTGGAAGAGACAGAAAATACAAGCTGGTCTAGATTCATCCCTATGGCATGAGCTCCCTGACATTTTTGACAATTATACACAAAGGTGAACACGATCACTCTACCTAGCCAATTCCAAGCTGCTTGCTGTAGCGGAGCTCACACCCAGCTCCAGTGAGCATTCATGGCAACTGCTGCACCAGTAGGAGAACCACTGGCCAAGAAATTCAGCTTGCTCAGGGTATTTTGCTGGGGTAAGAGAGGATGCAATGAGTAGCTGGAAGTTCTGCATGCAACACACCTACAAGGCACCTCTGGTTCATGAAGGGTGACCCTGGTGTTCGCCTGGGATACATCCTGCCAGACCAGCTCCGGAGGGGCACAGCTGCCCGCCCTGGTTATGCCAGCTACCAAATGGAGCGGTGGTGAACGTGTGCCTCTCTGCAGAACTCTTTCGGACACAAAAGCCTAATCGATGCCTGCAGTGTACAAACACAGGCACCGGCCACACATGTCAGGAGGGGCAGGGAGGCTGATTAATGCCTCAACTATCAGGCCCTATCCTGGAACCAAAACTGAGAGTTTTGACATTTACCTGACAGTTGCTCCACCTACGGAGCAAGTTAAACACCTTACTACAAGCATGATGGGTTTTTTTTTTGTTGGGTTTGTTTTCAGAAGAGATGAACCTCTCTCTAAATATTGTTTATTCTCTCCTTCACTGTCTACAGCACAGTACATTGCAAGAATATCCATCTCCTTCTGCTCTTCATGCAACCTGAAGTGAGGAAAAAAACGTAAGAACTGATCCGCACACAAACCAGTACGCCAAGCACTACCTCTGTTTCAAAATGGAGCCACTATTACTTCAGTAAAAGATAAGATGTAGGCCAAGACTAAGAAGATATCTGAATATATATTTGTATCAGAGACAGATGTACTACTGTGGTTTTCACACAAATAGTCTGTGGAGCCCTTCAAAAGCGGTTGTAGGAGAAGGAAGACTTTTGGTGTTTAGCTGAAGTTTACCATGTTGGGTTCCGTATCTCCAGGCAAAATCTGGGGAGTTGGGGGTAGCCGTGATGAAGGAAAAGTGTCAATAAAAAGGTTCAGATAAAAATAAAGGGAAAAAGCAATAAAAACATCATCAGCAAAATCATAGGTTCAGAAAGAGATCAGGAACGCTGCTGCTCAGACTACATTGTTGACCTGAGACAGCCCTAATATCCCTTTAGCAAATGACACGCAGCTCACCGGCTATGAAGCAGCAGTTAAATTTTCCTTGTGAATAAATTGTCGAAAGAAGATCTGAAAGGAGGAGCCAAGTAAATGCAGATGTTGGTTTGCAAGATGCTATGCCACTTCCAACAGCACGTCCCTGGAGCTGTCCCCTTCCACCACCCTCCCTCCCCTACATAAAAATTGCAGGTATTGGATTCGAGCATTTGATTGATGCAACATTCAGCAAACACACCTAAGCAATTAGGACGAGTGCTAATTGAGATGATAAGACTAACACAGGAAGACAAGTCTGCCCCAAGTCCACTTTCTACCAGTTTACAGGTGAACCAGCAGGAACTGCCCACATGCATACTGGGTTGAGATTTCACTGTATGTATGGTGCACTGCTTGTTTCATTATTAAGACAACTTCCCCTACTCCTCCATCCATTTGCCCTATCTATCTTGTGAGCAGAAAGCCAGCACAGCTCCTGACAAAAGCGGGGACGTATCAGCAACACTGCTGAAATTTCTTCTCCAATGCTAACGGGAGCCAGGTCTAGACCTAGGTCCCCAGGATGTTACCAGTTGCCAATGCATTTTAAAGCGCTATAGGGAGCAAAGCAGGCTAGTTAACAAAGTGCTTAAAACGCTGGCAAGCACCTTGCCCGTGCCAGGGCTTTCTGGTGCAGGCATGGCTGGCAGGGTGTTGTACAACCTGTGGGCAGAAGACACAACTCCACCTAAGGTCGCACAGCACTTGGAGGGCCATGTGCGAACTACATTGCCTGCACTTCACCTTTTATCCAGGCCAAAAGAGTAAGAACAAACAGAGCGAGAAGTGTTACAAGGCGCTACACGTTAAGTGTCTGCATCCAGTTCCCACTCCCAAGCGTGCGGGTGTGTAAGAGCACACAGCTCATACACCTGCAGTCTTGTCTGCATATGACTGCTCTGCAGCTTTTCACTGGAAGGATCCCGCTTCGCTTCCAGGAAATTCCCTGTCCACATATATAACCTGCCGTGGGATGCACCCGAAAATATTACAGCCCACCACTCAAATCACCAGAGATGAGGAGTGGTACAATACTAACCCTAAGCATAAGCACGCGTCCTGCCCGGTATTCACTGTTCCTGGGTTGTTGGGTTTCTTCCATTTGTTGTAAATTGGACACATCGCTTACAGACTGTCAAAGAAACAGCCTGTATGGAATTAATGCACTACAAATTACTTTTGCATTCTCCTCAGAGCAAAAGTTAACCAGCCCTGCAGATTCACCTGGGATCTGGGAACCAGGCATACTGGCACAGCCTTGATGCAGAGCTCTGGGTCCAGTACCTCATTCAAGTTTGTGCTGCCACATATTTGCGGTGGCGAGGTCCGAACACGCTTCTAATATGGTGGCAATTTGTTTTCTTCAATTGCATGAGCACCGCAATTCCCAGGCATCGCAAACCTACTGCAGTTCCTCAGGGATGACAGACCAGTTGGTGAGATCTATTATATTGGGACTAAAATGCATCAGTTTTAAAAACAAGTGCAGTAATATCAATTGCTGTCCCTCTGCCACCAACTTTAGGAAAGCAAACCCAGAGGGATCTATCGAATTCAGAAAGCCAGGTAAAAAAAGCAGAGGAGCCGTGTCTGCACAGTCTGGTTTGCAGTGTTCTATTCTCGGCATCCCACCAAAAAGAAAAAAAATTTTAAGGAAAAATAAAATAAAAATCGGGTTCTGATCCCTAAGCTGCTTTGTGTGGGCACAGAATAACATCTGCAGAGAGCAAGGGACTCGCTCTGCAGGCCACAGGTTGACCCTCGCCATGAGCCAACATTAACAGAGGAATTCGGACATTAAGCTCTGTTTTTATTTGAAACACCAAATGCAGCTTTCTTCTTTTTCTAGATACAACCATTCGCCAGAACACAGCACAAAGTACAAGTCTATTTATATAACACATGAGCAAAAATATTAATTAATAAATATGGAAGATGTATTTATAAACCAGCATTTATTTTGCTCCCCCTCCTTCAATAAACCAGTTTCTAAATTAACAGGCCAAACACACTGCACCACCAACATCCAATTCCTTTCTCTGCAAGTAAATTTAACTGTGACCTCAGTAGACTGGCATCTAACACTAACATTTAGTTTTCATTTTACCTTATTTCTGACCCTTTTGTGGCAAAGCGGCTGCCTGACCTTCTCCCATGCACGGGCAGACACGCACCTCACACCCACACACAGCTCAAGCTACCCCACACCTGGCAAGTGTCATTACAGCCAGGGCAGTTATCTGCAGGCTAGCATGGTTTTCTGTCGAAGTGCTTTGGCTCGTGAGCAAAAGCCACTGAATTTCAGATTTGCGTCATATTCCTCCTCAGCACATCACACGTGTTACCTATCCATTTCCTTGGATCAAACGGCAAGCTTGGGGGGAATTTTGAATATATGTTATTAACATTTCCAAGGCAGAACTGCACTAAATCCAGCTGTTTGTCTTATGCCTTTTCTTTAATTCCAACTACATATTAACAAGAATTATTAGACTGCACGCCACTGCTGTAGGAACTACAGCCACTGCTCTGTGAAGAGGAGACATTTATTATACTGTGGTCAAGTACCTGGTAAGTATTAGTGTTAACAAGATGTGACCTAGGTTTACCTCCCCCCAAAAGACAATCTTGTGCCTTTCTCCAGTCTCCTGTCCTCTTTGCAAAACAAGAGTCCAGCTTCATTTGCCAGAGGATTTTGGTCAAAACTGCTGGAGGGGAACAAGTCTGAATCTCAGCTAAGGACACGGTACAAACAGCAAACCAGAAAGAGGGAGAAAACAAAGCAGTTTGGTTTGTGTGACATGGGAAAGAGCGTATCATAGGAAACTGAGTGAGAAGAAAACACATAAAATCAAGTAACTTTCATGTAGAAGTGAAAAAAGAAATGGCTAAAAATTGTGTCTGATTGCTACCAATAACCCCGAGAATATTGTTTAGCAACAAACTGCTAATGACCACTTCCAGTTTTGATCCAAAGCTATTAGTGGACAAAGCAAAAACGTTCAATTCCTGCAGTGGACAGAAGGCTTACAGATTTCGGTTAATTAACTGCAATTCTGCTGGTATTTTCCCCTGCATGAATCCAAACCTGTCAAAATTACTTCTCACTTAATCGCAGTTGAGAGGCCAGCAAGCTTTTAGCCCAGACCCAACCATACTGTCCAAAGGGTGGGCAGCCTTCCTCCCCCTTCTTCTCCTGCAGGTCTGGGCCTCACCAGCCTTCGACAAGAGGATGGCGGTCTCAAGATACGATTTCTTCTGTGAACATCGCCACCACCTCAGCAGAGGAAGAAGACGTCCACCAGCACCCTCGCTGAACAACAGGGCAGCTGTAATCCATCCCTACCCAGTCCCCCAGCCCGCACTGGCCGGTCAGCACACCTGTATTACACGGGGTACACTCTCCCCGCTCCACAGGCAGGCAACATGGGGGAGAAAATACAGAACAAAGAGGAAGGGTACAGCACACCAGGCTTCCTCACATCTGACAGTTTTTCTCCTCCTCCCCTCTTTTCTGATTTTCCAACATTGAGGAGGAAGATGTTTTTCATGCTTTTATATACGTATAGCTCATAAAGCACAAAAAAAATATACATATATATATATATCACTTTTTAATCTGATCAGATGATGCAAGCAGCAGGATACAAAAATAGATAATGAAAACAACAACAAAGCCCCTACAGATTTGAAATGTGCAGTTATCTGCTCCTTTCCTACTCCTTTATCCTTAAGTATATATTTTTATATGTAAGAAAAACAATGCAATAAGGCGGCATAAATTTCAGACATGTAGGTAATCATGCCTGCCTGCATCTGATGCTCCAAACCTAGCGCGTCCGGAAAACGGTTAAAGTGGAACAATATGGACAAACACCTTGCCCGGTGGTTCACATCTCCCACAACCACTTCAGATCCTCTGAACTTTGGCCAGTCGTCTCTCTCTGTTAATCTTTGAGTTGCTTAGGAAGATTTAACTGTATTATCAAAAATTCAGACTCTAGTCTGGGGCTCGGACCCTATAGCCTATAAGCTCCAAATAATAATAAACCAGCAATGCTAGTGTACTTCATGCACTTTAGATTGGATATTCAAATGCAAGGATAATTTCTTCCCCTCAAATCTAAGCTCACAGGCCGATTTGAGCAGTGATTGCTAGGTGTGGGTACAGCGTTGGTACGTACAACGCAGAGGTGCCCACAGGGCCCTGCTGCTGCACCTCCCTCCCCGAAATAGCAGGGTGCTGCATTAAAGCCATGCGCCTCTGTTTCCCACACCGGCAAGCTAGCCTAGTGTCCGCGTTGAACCAGGCAAACCACTGTCCTGGTGGCAGTTGCACTTGAAGCTGCTTCTCGACAAGCATTATCCTGCCCTATAACACAAATGACCCATCCTTAATCTAATCACTGCAGCTAGAAGAAAAGAAAGTGTAAGTAAACATCTATGTTCCATACTGCAGGATGGCATTTCTGAAGGTTGCCACTGCTACAGAGTGAGATTCAGAGCAGAAGACTGAACAGGTAAATATAAATCTACAGGCAGAAGAAATGTAGGAAGGTAACTGCAAGCAGGCATGTATGCCTCAGCTTTAATAATGCTAGCAAATCTGTAACAGAAATCTTTTAATTCTGCTGTATTTGATAGATTACAAATCCTCTCCTAAAAACTCCTGAAAGCAGCTTACAGTTCAGACAAATAACTATTTTGCAGCGGATGACAAGAGACCTAAGAACAGAAACGATGGAATAATAGCTCTCTAAGTAACACAGATTTCTTGAATCCAAGAGACAGGAAAGAAGAAATCCGTACAATTCAAGGAGCAGTTTACAGCTGGAAATCCTATAAGACCTGTTTTGGTTAACTGTGAATTTTTTTCAAAGGCAGTGAGCATACTTTATAAGAAAATAATTAAAAATCTTCAGGAGCAAAGTGTCTTAGGAAACAAGACACGCCTCCCACTCCTGATGACTTTCTTTTTCAAAATGAACTGACGTCTTCTCTGTGCTCCAAGATGAGACAAAGAATTCAACTAAAACAAAAAAAATGTAGGAGTACTGCAATTAATACCCCCCAAAATCGTTGCCTTGCTTGGAGCAGGGGCATTGGGGGAACAATTTGCTCCCCCTCGGTTATCTTCAAGACATATCGCTCTGCCGTGGCAGGCATGAGCAGGGCGCTCACCAGCTCGTGTTTTTCTCAAGGAGGGAGCTCGTCAGCTTTTGATTTCAGTTTGCACCTCCGGTGCCCCTGGCCGTCTGCCCCACACCTCCCCAGCGCCAGCAGACCCAGCTGCCCACTGCCGTGTGGGATGCCCACTGGAGGAACGAGAGCGGAGCGGGCCTGCTGAGACTCACTGCTCCTTTGGAAAACAAGTCACGTGCAAGCCGAGTTCATTTTAGGCTATTCTACAGGAGCCACCATCCAGCACGACCATGCAGAGTGGAGCCTGCGCTGGGGAGAGCATCGCCACTCCGGGGCGAAGCAGGCCCAGCTGGGCACCATCCTCCGTCCTCTCCCGAGCAGCCCTGGAAGAGCAAAGCAGAGCAGGCACAGCACAGGACTGGAGGAGCTCCCAGGCAGGGGCCGGCACTGTCCCCATAAGACAGCCTCCTGCACGTACACAGCCGCTGCCCGAGCAGCAAACAAAGCTGCAGAGAGCCTGCGCACAGCAGCCCTCCGCTCATGCCATCGCAGCACAGGTAGCGGCTGCGGAGAAAACAACAAAACCACCACTACCACGACAAAAAGGCGGATGATAATCGTGATAAATAACGACCGAGTCATGCACTTTGATGGACCTGCATGCGGCGGGTGGGTGGGCGGACTGGCGAGCCAGTGGTGCTGCAGAAGCCCCAGAGTGGTCAAGTTCACTCCAGCACCTTCTCGCTTAATACCTACAGGAGAAGTTCAAGTGCACGGGTGCGTCTCCCCCCGCCACCCCGCACGCTTCCCCTCCGAGAGCCCGGTGCCACACTGCAACCGGAGGCTGCATCTGCTCTGGCTGCGATGGGGGAGGCAGACGGTTCGCTGCTTGTGGTTTATAAATAAATGCCAGGGGGGAAATTAGTGCCATGCAAAGAGAAGTCTAGGTGGCGATTATGGTGTTAAGGTCTGCAGTAAAAGCCGCTGTCAGTGAGTGCAGAGCAGAAGGAGCAATGAGGGCGGATGGTTTAGAAGTGCAGTGAGTACTAAGGAGATGGTGTACGCGTGGCAGTGTTTATATGAGAGATCAAAACAGAGCCAAGCCCATCCAGGGAAAAAATGGCGACTACCGGGATGGGGGAAACTAAGACACTGGATTAGTTATTATTTTTAATAAACGTATGCACTGCACATAAGCTAGACACATTGGAAAAGCTGCCGATTCATTCTGAAAAAGCGGTGCGTCTATTACCTGTTATTCTGGGATTTTCTGGCCATGGTGCCTGCCTTTGTTTTCTTTCTGGAATAGTCACTATCGAAGGGTAACACTGATGCATAGCCATGTTCTGCTTCTAGGGACAAAGTCAGCATTAGTGGCAATATATTTTTTCCATGCATTTTTTTCCTCCTTTGCAGGAACGCTAGGGTAAAGAACAGAATTTTTTCCGGTTGATTTGTTTGGATTTTATTCTGGCATCTCTTAAAGAAGCGAGACAAAAAATGTAAGAACTCGGTAAACCAAAAAAAAAAAAAAGAAAAAAAAGTGCCGAAATTAGGAGGATTATTTGAGTGCACACTAAAAACGAGGCGGATCATGCAAACCCTTGTCACGCTGCGCCGAGGCGGGGGGAGCACTGCCACACAACTAACGACTGCCACACACAGAGAAGTGTGAGGTATCCTGAGCGCTGCAACACACACACCATCCCCATCCAC